GGATGGGCTGGGCCAGAGCTGGGACAGTCCTGGAGAGGGGCAGGCTCACAGGACATGCCCTGTCCTCATCCCTGCAGCTCCCAGCCCTGCCCTGGGCAGCTGTGCCAGGGCTGGAGAACCTTTCCAGGAAGGAATTTTCCCAAATATCCACCCTGAGCTGCCCTGGCCCAGCCCGGGGCCGTTCCCTCTCCTCCTGTCCCTGTTCCTGGAGCAGAGCCCGACCCCCCGGCTGTCCCCTCCTGGCAGGAGCTGTGAGAGCCACAAGGGCCCTGAGCCTCCTTTGCTCCAGGCTGAGCCCCCTCAGCTCCTCAGGGATTCTCCAGCCCCCTCAGCTCCTCAGGGATTCTCCAGCCCCTTCCCAGCTCCTCAGGGATTCTCCAGCCCCTTCCTGGCTCCTCAGGGATTCTCCAGCCCCCTCAGCTCCCTCAGGGATTCTCCAGCCCCCTCAGCTCCTCAGGGATTCTCCAACCCCTTCCCAGCTCCCTCAGGGATTCTCCAGCCCCTTCCCGGCTCCCTCAGCCTCTCCTGGGGCTCCAGAGCCTTCCCAGCTCCATTCCCTGCCCTGGACGTGCTCCAGGCCCTCAATGTCCTTCTTGTCCTGAGGGTCCCAGAACTGACCCCAAAACTAAGCCAGAACTGACCCCAGCACTGACCCAGAACTGACCCCAGAATTAACCCCAGAACTAAACCAGAACTGATCCCAGAATTGATCCAGAACTGATCCAGAACTGACCCCAGAACTAAACCAGAACTGATCCAGAACTGACCCAGAGCTGACTCAGAATTGATCCAGAACTGACCCAGAACTGACCAGAACTGACCCAGAACTAAACCAGAACTGATCCCAGCACTGACCCAGAACAGGTCCCAGCACTGACCCAGAACTGGTCCCAGAATTGACCCAGAACTGACCCAGAACTAAACCAGAGCTGACCCCAGGGTGCCCCAGCACGGGAGGGATGCTGTGAGCCAGGCCAGGGACAGAGGAACCCAGGGCTGGAGAGAACCTCCAGGAAATGCTCCAAAGGCATTTCCACGTTTCTGAAATTGCTTCTCCAGGTGCTGCCATCGAGGCCAAAGCTGTTTAACCACAGCCTCCCCTGGCAGCCCCTTCGGGGTGCTCCATGTGCCTCCCTCCTGCCTCTCGCTCACAGAGCAGCTCCTGGCCCGCTCAGCCTTCAGCAGGATTGCATTTGCATCAGCCCAAACAATCCCTTCCTCACGGGTTCCTTTTCAGACAGGACTTTTGGGTTTTGTTCTCCCAAGGCCAAGCTTCGCCCAGCCCTCCCTGGCCTCCAAGGAGGTTCCTCCTCTTCTCCTGGCCAGAGGAGCTGGTTCAGAGCTCTGCAGGCACCCATCACCACTGCTGCTCCCTAGCAGAGGCTTTTATAGAGTGCCGACCTCCTCCTCACAGCCATAAATCCTCCAGCAGCTTCAAGTGGAACAAAATTTAGAGATGTTATCCCTGGGCCTCGCCCGAGCCTTCTGAGGCCCATTATCTCCCCATCTTTTCTTTTAAAAGAATGTTATTTGACAGCCCAGCCTTTTTCATCCTTCTTTTTCGACTTAGTGCTCTGACCTTGAGTTAGTTTATTCCTTCCTTCTCTGTATGTTTTAAACGTTGCACCAAAAAATCCAATTTATTAAGGCTTTCCTTTAGTAAATGATTAACCTGAATATGGTTAAATGAAATGCTTATTAACATCTCCCTGCATAATCCATTTAACAGAATTAGTCTTGCTTATTCAGACAACCTAAAGGGGTCTGTGCTTTTGTCTACACAGCATCAGCATTAAAGCTTATAATTATTTCTGGTTAATGCAGCCCTTGGTGCTAGGAAATGCTGGTTTGTGTGTTCCAGCATAGCACTTCCTCTAATCTCTTGTATTAATTAGAGATACTGATATAATATTACTTTGTTCCTTTCTATTCAGCACCAGGAGAGATGTCTGAATATAATCCTATCTGTGCTAAGGGTGTCTTAAATATTTCCACAAGTGCTGGCTGGTGTAAAACATTAGGATTAGGTCCAATAATCCCTAAATTGGAAGAAAGGCGAGTTTACAAAGGCACCCCACACCGGGGTGGTGCCGTGGCCCAGGCAGGGATTTCTCCTTGCCCCGAGGGGACATTTAAGGTCCCCTACAACCTCAGTTTCCACCCCCAGCCCCTGCTGATGCTCTGTGTGTGTGTGTGTGTCCCTTTTCCCTTTCCCTTTCCCTTTCCTAGAATGATGCAGCCACTCTGGCTCTGAGCAAAATTTGACTTACCGAGGAACATGAAAGTAAATTATTACTCCTCAGTGGCTGGAGCTGACATTTTAAACTCCCTGTGTCTTCTAAATCCTGGGTCATTTGCTATTTCAGACATCAGGCTGTGCGTGGAGCTCCTTTTAATCTTCTTCTAGATGGAAATTCACTTTCTTTTCAGGCATTTCAAGGTATCACTCCCCGGGCTCTGAAGTGAATTTGCAGCACCAGATCATAAAGTCATGGAATCGTTTAGGTTGGAAAAACCCTCCCAGACCACGGGGTCCAACCATCCCCAGCACTGCAAGGGCCACCCCTGAGCCACGTCCCCAGTGCCACATCCCCAGGGCTTTGGGATCCCCCTGGGGATGGGGAGCCAACCTCCCTGGGCAGCTGTGCCAGGGCTGGGCAGCCCTTCCCGTGGAGAAACTCCTGCAGTCCATCCTGACACAGTCCCTGCAGTCCCCCCTCCAGGCACCCAAAGCTCTGCCAAACCCTCTAAATTCAGCTCTGTGTCATGCTGGGGATGGGGCTCAGGGAAATGCCCAGGATGGCTGCAGGTGTAATCACAGACTCCAATAATTCCAGCTTTTATTTAAAGCCTAATCACACATTCCCCCACCATTACCTCCCTGCATAAATATTAAGACTGGGAGCTCATGTGTATGTGTGTGTGTGTGTGAAACAATGGAATGGTAATATTTCAGTGGGGGAAAGCAAGGCAGCTGGTTTATGCTTCTCTCAAGCATTTAAACCTTTTCATTTTTCCCTAAACTGAGGGCTTAGTCTGACACAGAGAACCATCCAAAAGTGCTTTGAAATTACCAAGTCCAAGAACAACGTGACCTTGCATGGCCTTGCACAGGAAAGCAAGGACTGCTCAGTCCTTACCAAAATAATTACTCAGAGTAGATCAAGGACTGAGCAGACCATGCTAAGAGTCTTTAAATTTTAAAGGTGTGTTTATTTTTAAAGTGTATATATCAGCACAAAGCTACGGAATTTTATTAATATCCAGCAACAGCGTTTTGCTTGGCCAGCAAAGAATTCAGGGAGCCACAGGAAAATTTAATCAAAATTCTGAGGGGGTGGGGGGTGGGGGGAAGAAAAAGTCTGCAGGAGATTATTAATTTTTAAGAACTTTTAAGAGTCTAGCCCAATATTTTAAACTATGTGTCATGCAGTAGGCCTCGTGTGACATCATAATTGATAATTAAGCTTCTCCAGGTTTGCTTCTCCTTCAGGTTTCTTTTCCATCCAATTCTCCTGCTTAGGCAGCTCTGGGAACTTTAACTTTTCTATCATCTCCCAAGTCAGAGCATTTTCCCCCCATTAACTCCCTCTTGCCTTTGTGCAGAAACAATCCAGGTATGATTTAATAAGCCTTGGAAAGACGGAGCTGGTTCATATGCAGGAAATCAGATTTACATAATTTTCCGCTCTCTTTTATAGCTGCTGCAGTTCAAATTATCCTTAAGTTGGGGAAGCTCTCTTCATACCATAAAATGAAACAGCACCTGTGTTATGCTTCAGCTTCCTCGCCCGGCCCCCGTGATAAATTAAAGGTTGATTTGTCATCCTAACTTAGCACAGAAAGCCCTTTTTTAATGAGAGGAGAGGAAGTGCCCTGGCCTGCAGTTAGTCACAGTCATCAGTCACTAAACCAAGCTTCACAACCAAGTTAAATCTCGTTGTGTTTTGGGTTATTACCTGAGCCTTTCTGCACGGGGGGAAAGCAGAGGATTTTGGGTTGTGTCACAATTTCTGCGCCAAGTAAAATGTCACAGGCTGCCAGCGGAGCTGCAGGGGTCTGTAGGGAAACCAAAGGGTGCTGGTGATTCGGATTTGATCAGGATTTGGGCTGAAGAAGCCTTGGGACGGGGAAAGCAGGCAGGATTTGGTGTGGGGTGAGGGAACAGCTCCTTCAGCTCCAGAGCAAACCCATGGCTTTCATAGAATCCTGGCATGGTTTGGGTTGGAAGGACTTTAAATCCCACCCAGTGCCACCCTGCCCTGGCAGGGACACCTCCCTCTGTCCCAGCTGCTCCAAACCCATCCAGCCTGGCCTTGGGCACTGCCAGGGATCCAGGACAGCCCCAGCTGCTCTGGGATTCCAGCCCCCCTGCCCACCCTGCCAGGGAACAATTCCTGCCCAGTCTCCCATCTAAATCAACTCTCATCCAGCTTCAGGCTGTTCCCCGTCCCTGTCAAGGACAAATTTCTGCCGGGTCCATCCCTGAGGCACAGCTGGGACATCCCCATCCCAGGGACCAGCTCCTCCCTTGCTCCTCAGCACCGATTTCTTGTATTTTCCCTCTTTGCACTTTGTGTGCATTTACCCAGGAATTCGAGAAAGGCTTCGTGGTAAACAAATAAATAAAATTACTTCAAAATAAATATTAATGTCTTTAGCTGAGCACAATTGTCAAACTCTGGCTTCTGGAGCTGGGCAGAAAATGAGCTGTTTTCCAGCAGGGCTTAATCCAGTCCCCTGTCATTGATTGCACTGCAGCTCTTCACGCTCAGTAAGTCAGGAATGCATCGATTATTCAGCTGGTTAAAAATGGAGCGCTCCGTTGCTGAGTGCTGGCCTGGACACGGATTTCTGCTGCTGGAGCAGGGGCTGTCCCCGGGCTGCGGGCTGGCTGTGCTGGCTCTCTGCTCCCCAGGGGAATCCTGCTGGGAAGGACTGGAGAAGGAGGAGGTGGGGATGAGGGGGGACTGCCACTGACCCCTGTCCTTGCCTTGCAGCTCCCAGCACAGCCCAGTACGGGATCACCGGGCACGCCGAGGTGCTCTTCTCCTGCTGGTCCCTGGTGCTGACGCTGTCCTCGCTCAGCAGCATATTCTACCTGAAGAACATCCTTCTGCACTAAATGCAAAGACCATAAAAGGCTTTTAAGGATTCTCTGGAAGTGCTGATGACTGGATCCAATCTGGTAGAGTTTGTTAAAAGCGGCGTGGGATATAATCAGTGCTTACATGGGGATGATCGCCTTCTGTAGAATTGCTCATTATGTAAATACTTTAATTCGACTCCTTTTTTTTGATTAGCTGCATTACCTTGTGGAGCAGTACACATTGTCCTTTTTTAAGACGTGAGAACTCTGAAATTACTTTTAGAGGATATTAATTGTGATTTCATGTTTGTAATCGACAAGTTTTCAGAAGCATTCAGTCATGGTCTGCTGAGTCGCAGACTGTAGTTTACAAAACAAGGATATTGCAGTAAAAATGTGCTTCTTTAAGGCTGCAATACAAACATTCAGTTCCCTTCTCAACTAGCATTCTCTCCAAACTTACACGAAAAACATTTGTTCTTTTTTGAGTCAAAAAAAAAAAAATCAAATAATATTGCCTTCAAAATATTTCTTCAAAATATTACACATATCTAGATTTTCTTCTAGCATGATATTCAGGTTTCAAGAATGAGCCTTGTACTATAACTGCGTTGTGCAGTACTGCTTTTGTTCTCTTCCCTCTTTCCTGCCAATTCAGCATGGTTGTGCCTTCATGAAACACGACTTTCCTCTTCCTCTCCAAGCGGTCTGGAATGTGTTCTGGGAAATGCTGGAGCATCCTTTGGAGCGTAGGGGATCTCTGGGAGAGCCAGAGGTGCCACGGGCTGCCAGGAAAGGGGAGCTCCCTGGGGCAGGGCTCAGCTCAAGGGCAGCACAACCCTTTTTGTCCCTCCCTCCACCACCACTGAGCAGTAGGCGACCTCTGTAAAAACGACATTTCCCTCTAGAAAGCAGAACTCAAATGATTTTGTGGCACCTTTTGAATGTCGGAATGTTCCCCTGAAGCCAAATTCCCACCTGGCTGTAAAGGTCAGGACCCTCCCTTTTGTATCGCTGGCAAAGCCGACTCAAATTGGTATTTTTCTTGCACTCAATTTTGTACTGGTTTGGCTGATTTAGCAATGATAAAGGATGCTTTGAACCATGAGACACCTGCAAATCCCTGGAGTATCAAGCAGAATTTTCTATCTCCACATGTCCCCGTGGCAGCAGCGAGGCTGCTCCTGCTGAGGGCACGTGGCCGTGCCTGGGAGAGCCACCTGGGCTTGGGGGACCTGCTGCCCTGGGCAGGCTGTCCCCCCAGCCCTGCTGCAGCCCCTGAAGAGGGGACCCTGCTGGCACACGCTGCAGGACCAGCCCAGAAACCAAACTCGTGGGTAATGGTGCCGTGTCCTTCGCAGCCTGGCCGCTGCTGGCGCGCAGCGCTGCTCACAGCTCCCACCTGGCTGGGAACTGCCACCCGTGTCACTCGCTGCGGTGGCCCTGGCCAGCAGCCCTGGGCCACCACATCTCCTGGTGGCCCCAAGAGCTCCTGACCTGCTCACCAACAGCCACTGACAGCAGGAATAACAAAATCCTGAATAACAGAATCCCGGGCTGGGAGGGACCTCAGAGCCCAGAGCATCCCACCCTGCCAGGGACAGGGACAGGGACAGGGACAGGAGGACAGGGACAGGGACAGGGATAAGGACAGGGACAGGGGGACAGGGGGACAGGGGGAGAGGGACAGGGACAGGGA